CTCAGATACAAGTTCACTTCAAACGGCTATGGCGGCACATCGCCTGTACAACTCTCTGTTCGTCACTTACTCAACACTGCTGTTCGCACACAGGATCACCCTGGATATCCCACACAAATCACACTCTGTACACTCACACACACACGCACACACCTACAGCTATGGCGGCTATGGCCGCTGCTACTCGATCGCTATGGCTAACTTCCTTCTCGCCCACTTCGTCCTCGGGCTCACTGCAGACCACCTCACACAAGTCGCTATGGCAGCGCTTCCGCATGGCTCACACAGGAATGAATGAATGGCTGGTCGCTGCCTCTCAATTTATACTTCTCTAGCTCGTTGGTCTGGCCCTTTCCCATGCCCGTGGTGCACACAGTCCCGTACGGTACTTGCTGGACTGGACTAGGACTGACTGGGACTGGGACTGCTGACTCAGCACTGGTAGACTCCACCACTTGCCCACTTGCCTCTGTCTCAAACGTGAGCAGCTTCGAAAGGCCACTTCCGGACCTTCCGGACCTCTCAGGACTGTAGCAGCTACGACCTTGACCTTTCAGGATCCCTACAGCTACGACCTCTACAGGGCTGTGACTCCTACTCGACAGACCTACAGATCGAACCCCTACCACTACACAGACCTACGACAGAACAACAACTGTGAGGACCTCTGTCAGGGCCCAAAAAGGGCCGCTGACGAAGTGTTAACCGGTGCAGCTTGCTCGCGGACTGGTGGTTTAAACTCAGCCTTCTGTAATACAGGCGGTAACAAGGGGAGCAAAAGGGCTGTGGAGATGCAGGGGTGAAGGAGAGGGATAGAAGGAGAGCGAAAGCAGGAAGAGAGAGAATAAGAGAGAGGAGAGAGAAGGAGAGAGAAGGAGAGAGAAGGAGAGAGAAGGAGAAAAGAAGAAGGAGAGAAAAGGAGAGAGAAGGAGAAGGAGAGAAAGAGAGAAGGAGAGAGAAGGAGAGAGAAGGAGAGAGAAGAAGAGAGGAGAGAGAAGCAGATAGAAGGAGAGAAAGAGAGACGGAGAAGGAAGGAGAGGGAAGGAGACAGAAGGGATCAGGCTGGGAGAAAGCAAAGGGATTCTCTTTTTTCCTTCCAAAGATACGGAGGGGGAAAAAAGAAAGGACAATGGACTTACTTCCGCCATCTTGTTTCTTCATCATCTTCTCCCTTCTCCGGCTGTAATTGCTTATCCAAGGTCGTAATTATTGCTGATTTATAAAAAAAAAGAACACATATCAATTGAGTTGGGATCCCACCAATCAGTCAGCAACACAAAACTCATCAGAACCGGCTGGTCGTCTCTTCCAGTAAACCACTTCAAAAAAAAAAAAAGCTTCCTCTTAGTGTGAGACATATACCCACGAGGGAGAGCCGAGGACACTGCACCTGTTCATTAGACCTACGCACGTCCTGGAGGAGTGCAGTGCAGAGGCTAGGAGGATCTCAGGAGGGGAGGAGGGGGAAGGTCGGGGAAGGTGGGGGGAAGAGGGAACGTAGGTGACGACGGTTCAAGGGGTGTCCAGGGACTAATGGATGCATTTATGTCCAGCGACTCCACTCAGTTTCATTCTCGCCCTGTTACTTGTTACAACACGTCTCTCTCTCTCTCTCTCTCTCTCTCTCTCTCTCTCTCTCTCTCTCTCTCTCTCTCTCTCTCTCTCTCTCTCTCGTGTGTGTGTGTGTGTGAGATTGTGTCTTATGTCCCTCCTTGTGAGACCATCTTTAAAGTTACGCACTTCACCCTTGTGCGACCATCTTTTAAGTTAAACACTTCAATCTGAATCGCAAGGGCACTATCGTACATAAACACTGCATATCATACTTCCAAAAGCAGACATGCACATAAACGAAGGAAAGGGAGAGGAGTCGAAGAGGGGAAGAGAAAGGAACCACACCACAACCCAGCTGTAGCCGTCAGCAAGAATAGTCTCCCCCAGAATATTCTCCACCCAATATTGCGTCCGAGTATCGGCACAGCCCCTAAGGAATAGTCACCGAAGTCTCAGCTCTCTCTCTCTCTCTCTCTCTCTCTCTCTCTCTCTCTCTCTCTCTCTCTCTCTCTCNACACACCTCAAAGAAGAACAAATCAGACATGGAGGGTGGAGCGAGAGAAAGAAGGAGAAGAAGAAGAAGAAGAATACCTCTCGTGTCACTCTCTCCTGCCATGACACAGATACCAACCAGCGAAAAAAAAGGTGTCTCCTTGAGCTGATGTCTGCAGATGAAGGGGGCTGGCCTGTGCCCAGCGATGGAGAACAGCGCTGGGCACAGCACCACAGCTAAGTTCCCCTTGATCTAGCCTCCGCTGTCTCTCCTCCAAATCTACTCCCAACCAGCACCACTTCTGGCGCCAACCTCTGATGCTGCTCAAGCACCATGACAAGGTCATCGAATATGAACTACTACCTGCCTAACTGAACGCATCTCAGCTATAAATAACTCTGGGCCCAATGGAGAAATCTACCATCGGCCTGCCTGCTGGGCCATCTGATCGAGAACAGTCCGATCTATATGGTCCAGGACACAGGTCCCAGTCCTGGTCCTGGTCAAAACGGCCTGCCAGGTTCCCCCCGGGCTTCCAGGCTCATCTGCTGTCTATCTCATGAGACTTAACTTTTGCTGTGTTGTTTTGGTGACGATATATGTTGTCCCTAACTTACTCTATTCTCAATCCTTTGCTGTATCAACAGAGATACCAACATAATAGAGGACAAAACAAGCAGAACATAGGAAACGTGACTCAGCCCCTCAGCCCAAACCGAAGTCCAAGGTCCGAACACCCCTGAACTGAACCGTTGTAATACAGACCAGGTGCTGAGTTGGAACTCCACAAGAAGCAGATGAATAAAAACTACTGCAATTCTTTTCAAAAAAAAAAAAAAAAAAAAACTACAATTCTGAATCACCTAGGGCCGGTCAGTTCGAGGATGCTATCTCAAGGCAGTCGTCGATTCAAAAAAAAAAAAAAAAAAAGGAGTCCGTGACCGGCCAAATGCCGTAACAACACATCCAGTCCAGACAAACAACCCTGTACAGACAAAATAATATCAAGCAGAATAAATAAATAAATAGAATAGAATAGAATAGAATAGAACAGAATGGAATAGAATAAAAAGCAAACATGCAGATCCACACAACACACAACACACCCCAATAACCTGCCGCCGAGGCCTCATCGGGCCCAAAAAAACAATACAGCCGCGGGGCCCTGGATCTGAATCAGGGCCCAAAATGGAACACAGGCGGGCCTGAACGGTCACTGTGGCATCCGCGTACACCACACACACACACAAACAATAAACAGATATTGAGAAAAAAAAAAAAAAAGAGGTAAGCAAGCAGCCGCGTCGTTCCAGGGTTCGAGTTTACTGAAGGAGTTGTTATCATTGTGTTCTTGCCTTGGTCACTGGACCTTCTTTTTTTTTTTTTTTTTTTTGCACTCGACCCGTTTTTGTAAAAAATAAAAATAAAAATAAAAATAAAAATAAAATAAAAAATTACCTGAGGAGTCGTTCAACTGCTCGCCGTCGACCACAAGAATCGGCACCTTCTTGTACGTTGACCACTTGATTTCCTTCTTTCCAATGGGATTAACTTCCACTACACGGTATGGGATCGAATGGTAGTCCAGAAACGCTGATTGCCCACAGTCGAACACAGCCGAAAAGGGAGGGAGAGGGGGGGGGGGGGGGGGAGAACGAACACGGCATTTAGAACCGTTGTTAGTACTCCAAAGAAAAGGAACGAAAAAAAAAACAAAAAAAAAAACAGGGAGACGAGAAGAAGGACAAGAAGGTCCTTCGGGGCATCCGTCAAAATTGGAGCGATACAGAGAAGGGTAATAGCAAATGGCCCCTACACAAAGGAAAAGCAGGAGGACTACGAACAAGAGGTGGAGGCATGGACAAATGCATAAAGGTCATGCATGCACACGTGTCATAAGGAGGAAGAAGGGGAGGAAGACGACGATCAGGAGAGCGCACACGCATAAAAAACGGCATGCAGATTACAAAGAGCACAACGACGATACCGACGATACCATGAATACAACGACGACACTACGAGTACAAGGACGAACAAGAGGTGGAGGAGGAGGAGGAGGAGGAAGGAAGGAAGGAGGGAAGGAGGGAAGGAGGGGTAAAACGTAGACGAGGAGGATTATGTCACAAGGATCACAATGACGGTACGATTAGAACAACAACGAATAAGAGGAGGCCGAAGAGGAGGAGGAGGAGGAGGAGGAGGCTAAAGAGGAGGAGGAGTCTATTATGTTCGATATGAGAAGAAAGATCTATTTGATAGATTATTTCGATTACCAATTACTACTAGTATATATTTTTCTTTTCTTTTTTTTTTAACCACAACAGCTCAATTCATTGCAAATTACGATTCGAGGCCGGGGATTCACAATTCGACCCGGGGTACCTGACAGCATCAGTCAGCTTATAATAGCTGACAGGCACTTGCCTGCGCAACTCACCGCTACCTACCGAGTTCCGCATTACAGACTTAAGTAAATTCAATCGTCCATGTATGCAATTCAATCCTATACAAGTTCCGCTACCGAATTCCGCGTTACAGACTTAAGTAAATTCAATCGTCCATGCATGCAATTCAATCGTCCATGCATGCAATTCAATCGTCCATGCATGCAATTCAATCCTTGCGTTCAATTACTATATCAATCGATCTAGAAAACATATACATAATCAATAAATCATATATATACAATACTAATCTATTCTTTTCTGTTATTCCTACTTACTTTTATTTATTATTATTATTATTATTAACTGCTAATTTAATTCGCCATGAGGAATTCAAGAACTTTAATTTGTTCATACAGAACAATTAGCAATACCTTTACAGATGCACCATCGTAAATTCAACGAAGTATTTTGATTTCACCCCCAAAAAAACAACCGTTCCGAATTTCGGAAATCAAAATACTAGAGATTCAGATTCTTTGAACTTCAAAAGAAATCTTTAGGGATTGCCCAAAATTCATTCATTATAGCAAACACAGCTTGAATTTCAGACATCAAAATAATGTAGATTCAGATTCTTTCAACTTGAAAAAACAAATCTTTCAACTTGAAAACAAATCTTTCAACTTGAAAAGAAATCTTTGACCTTGAAAAAAAATCTTTGACATTGAAAATAATAGAGATTAGGAATTTAGGGTAGTACGATGAAAATCCGGAGTTCCCTATGGAGAGCGTAGTACAATGAAAGCTGTTTGCTAGTCTTCCCCCGAATACAACGCACGGTCATTATAGCTGAATTTAGACTGAAAGATAGACCAAATCCAGCTATAATGACCGTGCGTTGTATTCGGGGGAAGACGGTAGTCCGTAAATGGTTAGAATTACTGTATTACAGTATGACTTAGTTCTTTTTCTTGTTAGAATTACTGTATTACAAAATATGACTTAGAAAACTTAGGGAACAAGAACCTAAGTTTTCTTTCTTGTTGCCTACGTACGTTTTTCAATGTGACCCACACGGCGCCGAAAGGGGTAGAGTGGCGCCATTACCCCCTGATATCGTCTTCACCCCGAATAGAACGTACGGTCATTCGCGGTAGCCTGCATTTGGGGTAACTAAAAGTCTCGATACAGCGATATTGACCGAACGTTCATTTCAGGGGAAGACGTTAGTGGAACCGTGCGTCTGGTGACCACGAACCACATTAAAAAAAAAAAAAGCAAACAAAGTCAACAGACCAAAAAAAAAAAAAAGAACATTGAAAAAAAACAAAAAGACAAAAAAGCTGGGGAAAAAAAAAAAAAAACAGAGTGACCATGAGACTACCTAGTTTCACAATCACGGTAATGCGCGGTTAAAAAAAAAAGAAAAAAGTGATTCGCGGTAGGTATGACGTGTCAAATTTGTCCGAGTGACGTGGCATAATCGCACCCAGGTAATTTCCTTTTTTTTTTTTCTAAGGTGCGCGATTCCGAAGAACAGTCACTATTAAAAAAAAAAAAAAAAAAAAAAAACGGAAAAGACTCAAACGTGGCATACCGTACATACGTAATTTTATGGTTTCCATCTACTTTACTTTTTATTCCTTTCCACACGTAATTTCCTTTTTTTTTTCTTTTAATGTACGCGATTCCGAAGACAGTCACTATCAAAAAAAAATAAAAAAATCGGAAGACTCAGACGTGGCATATCGTACATACGTAATTTTATGTTTTTTATTTACTTTACTTTTTATTCCTTTCCATACGTAATTTCGAGCGGCATTCGTTGAAAAAATAAAAGTCACCAAAACGAAGATCGGAGAGATCCCTCCCAAGTTTTTATCGTCAGATTCCGACCCGGTTAATTAAAATCATAAACTTAGCGGAATCCTTCTTATCATTCAGTTTAAGATCTCATTTATTTGAATTATTTCATTTCATCAAATTTTATTTTTATTTTTTTTTGCCACACTAATTAGTAATTAAGCACAGCGAATCCGATCGAAACCTTACGGCAACGATAATATCACGGGAACGATACCTCCACCCCCCCCCAACACACACACACACACACACACACACACAGAGTGAAACGCGAGAGTACAAAAGCGTGAGAGAGATGATCAGGAGGGGACTACCGTCTTCCCCCGAACATAACGCATGTGTTGTATTCGAGTTTTCTAAACAAACTCGATGATTCCAATAGAACGCGTATGCGATGTATTCGAATATAAGAGCTGTTCGAATAGAGAGCTTATGCGTTGCATTCGGATAGAAAGCAACCTGTGCGTTGTATTCGTTTACAACGCACATGCGTTATGTTCGGGGGAAGGCAGTAGGAAGAGAACTGAATATATCGAAAGAGAGTGAGGGGAGAGAGAAAGAGAGAGAAGGTGACGGAGAGAGAGAGGGAGAGGGAGAGAGAGAATGGACAGTAGATCGACAAGGGATTTAAGGAAGATCATTAGCTGGTGTATATGCTAATTGTACACAATTTTCCAAAGCTAGGGAGCAATGACGAAACAAGAAGCATTCAGACAGGATAAAAGAGAGAGGAGAAAGGGGAAAAAGAGAAAAAGAGAGAGAGAGAGAGAGAGAGAGAGAAAGGGGTGAAATACGAAGACTTTGAGGAAGTCCGTTAGCTGGGAGCACTAAGAACCGGGTAAGAAGGAAGTCCGTTAGCTGGAAGCACTAGGGGCTCCTCTTATCATCCATCCCTCGATCCGTAAGGGCGAGGGGGGACAAGACGAATGATACCTTTCAAAGGAAAAAAAAAAAAAAAAAAAAAAGGGGCGAGCGGTTGATTACCTTTCACTTTATTGCAGAAAGGACAAGCCTCGTACTGATAGAGAACGACGTCGCCGGGGATCTTAACGTTAGGAATTTCTTTGGCTTCCGCTGACGTCGAATATGCAACGTAAGAAACGGGTATGACTCCCGCGATCAGCGCTTTGGATGACACGTGGCCGCCTTTCCGCGTCCAATCGTACCAATTACCTCCTCGGCCACCGTCAGCGCAGGCGCCCGATCCGATCGCCTCACCGTCAACGGGGCAGCTGCGCGCCAGCAAAGCAGTGCGCAGCCTGCTGGGATCGCGATCCTCGAGCCGATCATGTGTCGACGCTGTGCAGCCATGCGATGACCCCGCCGGCGGGGATCCCGACGTCGACGGTGATAGCGTAGAGAAGAATGAGGTGGCGCCAACAGCTCCCGCCCTGTCGCGGAGCGCACATCCTCGCAACGCGCGCCGGACGTGCGCACCTCCTCTAATCAGCAGGCGATCGGCCATCTCGCGCAAACACGTCACTCGACACCGCGTAAAAGACGTGACACGTGCAAAGATAGCCGCAGGGCCACGTCACTCAACAGCGCCTAAAGGACGTGACACGTGCAAAGACAGCCGCAGGGCCACGTGATCTGCGTCGTGCCATCACCGCGGCAGCTCATTCCACACTCCGGCAGCTCCGCCCCCGCCTACTCCCGCCGTCGAGCGGCTGTCGTATTCCCGATGCCTTTCCCATCGGTCCCACGAAGTTACCGGCGGGCCTACCGTCTTCCCCGAACACAGCGCACCATGATGATGAATGTATACAAGCGAGCTTTCCGGTCCCATACCGCCAAAATTACGGTGTGTTGTGTTCGGGAAAGACGGGAGGTCCCGCTTGCGCGAACTGAGATACACTGGCCGTAGATAAGCGAAGATCGACGGCCAAAATCTTCTTGCAAATCAGATTTGGGCGGCGATAATCAATCTTCTTGCAAATCCTTTTACCGCCGGCGGGGATCCGGTCCTTTCCGGCGCGCGTTTTTCATTTCTGGCGGTAGATTGTGGAGATTCGACGACCACAACAGAAATGAAAAGCACGCGCCCAGTGGGCCCCGGCCCGGGGCCATGTCCCACTCTCAGCGTTGAGCTAGCTCAACGTTGGGTTTTCAACCACGTACGGGGAGGGGGGACATCCTGTGCATCGAACCGTAAAAAAGAAAAAACACGCCAACTCGATTACTACGCCCCTACCCTGTTCACTCGTTTAGTACGCCCCTATCCTGGGCGAAGTTTGCTGGCAGTAGCTGGCAGAATGTTTATATTCTTTGTTTCCTGGGTGTTTTGCTAGCTTGTGAAGGGGTGCTGGCCCACTTGACCGCCACTCCGCCTACCGGTAGGCCGCAATTGCCGCAATTGTCCAATTTTGATTGCGCTACCAATTCGTCGCGGCCTACTGGGTACCGGTCAGATTTGTCATCGGAGAAGTGGGACTTGTGCATCCACACCCGTTCGAAATCCCACTGTGGCAGGAGGCGGTCAGAACTGTTCCTTGCCGACATCAAAGTGACCGCTGTGTCACTCTTCCACGAATTTCATTATCATTTTTCAAAAAAAAAATATATATATATATAGTGCTATTTTTCATTTTTGTTTTGTTTTGTTTTATTTTATTATTTTTTCGTTGTACGGCTGTTTTGTTTTCACATCTTTCCGGATGCGTCCGTTCAGGCCGATAGCGCCACAGAAGAGTCGTGACGCCTTCGAGTCTCGAAAAGCCACCGATGGGTGGCTGCTGTTCGTGTAGCTCTTACAGTCCCACGTGGCACCCTATCACCGCCATGCTATGGCATTCAAGCACATCGGGGGAGAATACTTGCACCCTTTCGAGATGGCGACCCGTGCTCGATCGGGTGGGAACGTTACAAGTCGTTCCCACCAGCACTGCTCATCTTCTCTCTCTCTCTCTCTCTCTCTCTCTCTCTCTCTCTCTCTCTCTCTCTCTCTCTCTCTCTCTCTCTCTCTCTCTNGTCCGTGGCAGGGTTTCGGAGGCACCGACCGCCTGGACGAGCGACCGGTACCCGTCGAGACCCGACGTCGGGCCTGGCGCAAACTTCCGGCCGCTGCGACAACGGTGAGTACCACCGCCATCGCCCTTACGGCCTCTCTCTCTCTCTCTCTCTCTCTCTCTCTCTCTCTCTCTCTATCTATCTATCTATCTATCTATCTATCTATCTACCTATCTATCTATCTATCTATCTATCTATCTATCTATCTATCTATCTATCGTGAGTGAGTGAGTGAATGAGTGAGTGAGTGAGTGAGTGAGTGAGTGAATGAGTGAGTGAGTGAGTTTTGCTCTCTCTCTCCCTCTCTCTTTCTCTCTCTTGTATCAGTCACTGTCTCGCACTGGACTGCCGCCCGTGTAGTTCCGCGTTTACCAATCACGCGGAACACGAAGGGCCATAAAAGAAAGTTGTCGCCATCTTCGATATCACCCGAAATTCGACAACGACGACTTCGTATCGTCGGTCACGCTCAGGCATCGATGACGGCAACAGCAGGTCAATGTGTGTGTCCCCCTCGCCACCTGACCTCCACACAGTGCGGAGAAACTCTCTCTCTCTCTCTCTCTCTCTCTCTCTCGATCGATCTATCGACATTCAGTACCAGCCAACTTTTGAATGAGGCCACAATGTCGATCTTCATGCAGGGTTTTCCAGCCGCATATGTATGAACGTAGCCACCGCCTCACCTTGACATGATCGACCTTCCCCCTACCCCCCCCCAAGGTGTGGGTTGTACATCAACCTCCATAATCATTCAGTCAAATCATAAATCTTACGTCAAACTCCAATAATCAACCTGCATAAAATATAGACACATGCAGAACGTCATATTTTTAGTCAATAAAAATTTGGCAACCCACCCTGTATAGGGGAGATGCTGCCTAATTTTTCCTTACTTTCTAATATCAATCAGAGATAGGATCAAACTTACTTTAGTAAAGGGTTGGGTTAAGATGTGATATGGAACTTATTCTCCATATACTTAAGTACGGCTTTGGATACCATCATGTGTTGTATTACAGGTCTTCGATTAAAGGTTTACTAGTTTAAGCGGGATCCTACGAGGTTCATCTTCTGCTATCTTTTGATAACAGGTTGGTTATGACTCAACTCAAACTCATTCTCGCAACTCAACCTCATACCTTAGCCCCTGTAGTTTGTTTTTTTTCTTGGGATTTTTGCCTATATTTCTTTTGATTGTCATTTTAAAAAGTTGGGTGCCCGTTGTGGAAAGTTTGACAATGATTGAGATGTGTGTGTGTAAGGCGGAATGTGAGTTCTATGAAATGGTAAAGTTAACTACATTGGTGCCCGACAAACGTGATTTTCGTTTGTGCATATGTTTTGTGCAGGTTAGTGTCTGAAGCTTGATGGGCAAGCCAAACCTTGAGGGTAGTGAGAATAATAACCGGATGTCGCACGATCTACATACCTTGCGGGATTACGTTTTACCCTTTCGAGTTTGATGTATATGTGGGTGTTAGGACGCTTGTCTATTTACTTATTGATTGACAACTTTGTCCGTACACACGAGAGATACGCTACGTTTGAACTAGGTCGAGTGAAGAGGAAGTTTCCCCAAGTCTGCTCGTTAAATTGTTTGGTGAAACGATAAAGTTATAGGTAAAAGGGATAAACATATAAGCATCTCAACACCTACATATTAGAAAGCGCAAACGGGTAACCGTTGCCTGTACCCGACCATACCCAACTGTAACCGCCAGGTTCAAGTTACCGGCGGGGCTGAGTACCCCTTCCAAAGGAGGAGTTTAGTTGGGCAAGCAAAAAAATAGTGGTGATAGTTAGGGCAGGCTCAATTGTCGTTATGAAGATCATGGGCGAGGATAATCAACTCCACAAATATCGATTAAAACTCGAAATTTTGTGTTCGTATGATTTTTAAAAAGAAAGAACATTTGAAAAAAATTGTTTGGGTTGGTATATATACAAATTTTCTTTTTTGATATTTTATATTTGTTAATTCATTTTTGTAAAGTAACTATCAAAGATTTGAAAAACAATTGATTGTGCACAAGTTGCGCTTTTTTTTTTTTTTTGGGTTTGGGAGTAGGGGCAGCGAGACAAAAAAAAAACTGGTATTAGCAGCCAAAAAGGAAAACAAAACGTTTATAGAAACATACGAGCGGCAATTAAACCACCAATACTTCAATAATTTATGCTCGTTAACAGTCCACGATTTAAAAAAACGTACGGGCCACGACAACAACGCCTAAATTCATCTGACTAAAAATGTTTCTACTCTATTTTTTTCCACGACCAATAGCTGGCCCAAGTACTGGTGGTTAAAAAAATTGGTATGGGTACGGGTAGGTAGAGGTGCCTACCGATTCTACGCCCCAACCCAGTGACCCCCCCTGTTCCCCCCCTTTACCACCACCACAAGTTTTAAACACATTTTTTTCCGTTACCTCGTCGAAAGTCTCAAACGACCATTTTTTTTTATAAATGTTTTTCTTGTCACCGAGCGGCTACATTGTTGAAAGGTCAAAAATCTCCCGACTTCGAGTTGGGCCTTTCGAGTGCGCCTCATTCCACTACTCATAAAAAAAAAAAAAAAAAAAAATCGTGTATTTTGCCATATTCCAACGAAAGATTCATTCTTATTTTCAACATTTTATGCAAAGTGGAGCGAGGTCCATTTGCCTCTCGGCCGTTTGTATTGCCTCCCACCTCTTTCGATTCCCTGTGCCCACTACTCCCACGAGTCCCCACCCATTGTCCTCCTCATCGTCTGTTGTTGTCCATCCTTCATAACTTCGATAGTCGACATAGCAGGTGTGACCCGGTAGGAGGGCATCGCATAAGTGATCAGCAACGGTCTCAGGCGTTAGGACTAAGGAGACAGATGCGAACGGTTACGGGTGGGTGCATGCAATTGTGGGTGGGTATGCGTGGATACGGGTAAGGAAAACCTGGGCTGGGTAGGATACGCGTGGTTAACAAACGGTTTGGATTCAGGTGGCCATGAGTCGTGGGTTTCGGCTGCTGGATGATGTTTCGGTTTTTGCAATTCGCAAATGTGATGATAGCAGCTCGTATATTGAAGGGTTAGATCTCATCAATTCTTTTAGGAACTGCTATGATAAGAACCAGGTTCTGGAGCAGACGAATGAAGGTAACTGTTGTGATTTTCTGGGATGTGTTTTGAAAGTATCCAGAGGAAAAACGGGTGTGCTCTGTTTCCGGTTGATGAAAAATCAGAGGGAGCATGTTAATGGGAAACTGAAGTTTCAGTGTATTCAGGACTTCTCTTCATTTACGAGTTGGAAGCAGAAACTGGCGCCCATCAACTCATTTCTCCATCGAGCAAAAACATATTCCTCGGTTGCCGGCATGGTTTTAATTTTCTTTTTCGCCCTCAAGTGTGAGTTGTGGAAGCTGGGTATCCGGATCTGTTTTTTGACTCGGCGGTTACTCATTTCTCTAGAAGATTTGGTGGATTATGGCATGATTGGCTACCGTTTTTGACCAACTTAAAGTGGGGTCGGCTACTGAACAAAGATCTTCGTCGTTTAGGGGATCTTTTTTTTTTTTTTTTTTTTTTTTTTTTTTTTTTTTTTTTTTTTTTTTTTTTTTTATTTTTTTTTTTATAATTTTTTTTTTTTTTTGGGGGGTTTTTTTTTTTTTTTTTTTTTTTTTTGCCTTCTTTTTTTTTCTTCTTGAGTTCCTGTGTAGGACTGAAAGTTCTTGAGCTGTAGGTTTTTCGAGTATAACGGTGGGGAGATGATTGGATCTGAACGCGTGACTCGAAGTGTTTTGGAGGATGATTTATGAAATTGTGCGTTTTTTTTTTGTTTTGCGAAGAATAATTGTTGGGTTCGAACACAAGACTGTTTTTTTTGGATAAGTGGTGGCCTAGTTTCGATATTTGATGTACGCCTAAGTGGAAGCTAGGATTTGAGCACGTGATTGATGGGTTACTAAGTTTTTTTGGGCCTTTGAGCCGTGGACGGAAGCCTTGCGCTAGTTTTGGGTTCGGTTTATGACTTTTTTGAGATTGTGAGGTTCGATCACGGTATCTGTCGAGTTTTATTCAGGCTTTTGCTCCACTAGGTGTAGGTTATCTTTTTTTGATTTTGAACTCTTGACTTGCTTTTTGGTATTTTGCGGCTGTGGAGTACGGACCGGCTGACTACGTGTGATAGGTCCTCTCAGGTCTCTTGTTTAGTATATATAGTTTTTGAGACTAGTATCCTTCAAGTGACTTCTAGACCCCTGATGAGACCTGGTGGGCGGCCAGGCGAAACCGGTCGGGTCATTACGCCGGTCAGAACTTTCTGTTTCCAATGTGCATCATTGCCTATTCTTTCAAAAATAAGTCGCGTTTGAGACACTCGTCTTCTTGTGTTGTCTTCTTCTCTCTCTCTCCCCCCTTGTCTTCTTCCTCCTTCTCTTCTCCCTCCTTCGCTTGTCAGTCTGACTGTTTGGCGTATTGAGGATTATTCAGCCATTGTGCTTGTACTGTCGACTTGACATACTTTTACTCACAAAGTAACCGAGGTATGAGTGATACTATCTTCGAGTGGCTTTGACTTCAAGATGGCGTCTAATGGTATTCCTAATGATCCAGCGCTTTCGACTGGTCGTGAATGCTACAATTGTGGTCAACTTGGCCACATCTCGCGTTTTTGTCCTCTTCTAGATCGTAGATTGAACGGGGCGCGGCCTTCTAATGCTATTGTACCTGCTCAGCCGTTGACCACTGTGCCTTCGACGACTAATGTTGGCACTGTTGTTCCGTACTATCCTGGTCAGTTCAACAATGGAGTTGGCGGGAGCAGTTTGGGTAGGAGAGTTAGTTCGCTAGAAGAGATCGTTGGTCGGATTAATTCCAAGCATGAAGCGGAGGAAGCTAGATTACGAGAACAACGCGAAGAAGAGGAGAGGAAGAAGCGTGAGAAAGAAGAAGAAGAGCGTAGACAGAGAGAGAAAAAATAACGGGAAGAGTTTCAGAGGGAGATGCACAGGGAGATGTCGCTGAAACTGGATAAAGTGTGTGAGGCGGTGGGAGGAAAAAAGAACGGCGAATCCGAGGAAATCAAGGAACTAAGAGCTCTGGTGGAGTCTTTGAATCGACAGTGTAGTATGGGTGGGGTGATAGATCGCAAGTCCGGTAATGACGATGAGGTTGTACGACTGCGTGCGGAGGTTTATCGATTGAGTAGGCGGAATGATGGCGCCAGTACCTCTGCCACAATTACGGGTGTTGCCAGGGAAACTGACAAACTCATTCGGATCCGACGTGAACAAGTGGAGGCCAAGACAACTATGGATAAGCGCCTGGCAGGCATGGAAGAAGTCATATTCGCCCTGCAAAAGCAATATGAATCGGTCGAGGCTAACGCGGAGGTTTGGAGAAATGAGGCTTTATGCCCTGGAATAGCATTGCAATTGGTTGCACCCCGGTCAGCAATGCTCGAGTTCGTCCGAAGGTAACTCCAGCTGTTGCACCTAGTACTGCTGGTAAGGTCAACATACAGCTGAAAGGTTTGGTGGAGCGACACCGGCGGGAGGTTGCTGAAGGAGATGAGATTGTGGGAGGTCAATGCTATGAAGGAATCGGAAGAGGAAGTTAAACGACTGAAGGTGGCGATGGCAAAATTGGGAACTGAAAAGAAGACGAAGGGCACCAATCTTAAAGCAAGACTAAACGAGGCGGTTGGAACATCGTCGAAAAAGGATAAAGGTAAGTGTCCTTTGACTCCTGCTGAACAGGCGTGCAAGAGGGAGGTTTTCGTTAGAGAAGCACGTAAGCAGCTTGGTAATCTGAAGAAAGAAGATATCATGGGTATCTGTGAGAAAGAGGGTATCGAGTACACTAAGCTTGATCCAACGAAGGAGGCTATTGTGCAGTTAAGGGCGGATCGTGCTGGGTTAGATGCTAATAAGGATGACGTCAACGGTGTTTCGGTTGTCGAAGTTACCAAGGACGGGGGTGACTCCTCCGCTAAGAGCGACGGGCATGACTCTGCTACTTCTTAGGGTCATGCCCGAGCGCGACTTTCCTTTGGCATGTAGTAATGATTTGATGTAGAATTCGTGCGTCGTCCGTTGAGCTATTGCGGTGTAGGGAGATCAATCTGCTGTTGACGTTGGCTATCTGTGGGCTCATTTTGTTCCATGCGATTCCGTGGTGTCGTAAGTTGGCTGAATTTATTTTGCGGGCTGCTTTCTTGGGTGTTGATGATGTTGACCCGTGGAAGGGTCCGGTTGTGTATGCCCTCGTTTCCCCATGGGCTCGTCATGTGTATGTCAGTAGTACTCAGCGTGATCTTGACTCCCGTTGGAGGGAGCATGTTTATCGCTTGTGTCGGCAACAACTAATTGATGGCGGACGTAGGAACGAGAAGCTCTACTAATGACTTCGGAGATGCAGTGTGCATACGTATGCTATTATCCCACTTTGTCGGTGTTAGGAAGGTGACATATTGGAGACTGAAAGGTTTTTTATTAGACTATTTGCACCGACTCTTAATACTCGTGATAAGTCTAGGTGTTCACGTAAGCGACGGGCGGGGCTAAGGGACCGGTTGCAAAGGAAGAAGGTAAGTGGTATTACCTTGAAGGCTTCATCGACAATCGTACATCGGGGCCCCCTCTGTGTATTTCATGCTACTAATGGAACTGAGTCGGTTAGTCTTCTTAAGATTCTTGGTGAATGCAAGGATAATGGGGTACATCGTGTGATGATTACATGTCGAGGGGGTGGTCGTTTGGTTGATAAATGGAAGGTCATTAAAAGGTTGTATGGGGGGAGTCTTGTGGAGTGTTGCTTTGGTAAACAGGAGTTGCGTTACGCTCGTGATTGGTTGAAAGATGGGGTTACCCTGCTAATTGATCCAATTGTTCCTTTTTTGAGTCGTTCCCTGGCTTTGAAGAAACCTCTGGCATCCTTTCTCAGCAACCCTTCTAAACGTGGGGAGTTGAAGTTATGGGACTTTGATATCCTTATTGCTGCGTACACTGCTGTTCGCTGTTTTGGTGAAAAAAGGACCAGGTTCTGCCTGAGATGCCTACTTTCGCACCATCTGTTGACAAGGTTCGATATTCATGTGAGAAAGAGGTTGGTTGTCAAGATCACTTACGATGACCAGATTTGCAAAGTTGGTGTTCGGAGGTTGTGTGCTGAAGCTATTGGTGGGTTGGATATCAAGCAGAGTTGGAAGGGAATGTTAGTGCGGCGTATGCGTGTAGTATAGAGACGGAATAGAAGTATTGGGGATCTAATTCATAACTTTTCGTTTATTTGCAAGATTTGGTGTTGGTGAGTGTTCTTGTGAAAGTGCAAATGTATCTTTGCCACAGCACGAGGGGCACGTTTCATTTCGTATCAATGAACTACCAGCACTGTTTCCTTCGTGGTTCCGGAATGCAAAAAATCTTGTTCGTCCTTCTAGCTCTCGATGCTTTCCGGATTACGTAAGCAGATTACTTCAGCTTTTGACGATCACCCCTCTCTGCAAATTCCTAATTCTAATTTTCTTTCTACAATGAGATTGAGAAGTTGTCTAGTTCGGGAAGGTGGAAGTTCCTGTTCTGGGTCCGGGCTGTGTGAGGATGATGTTGCTCCTCTGAAAGTATTGCTTCAAGGAATGATGTGCAGTCCAATTGACCACAACATGGGCGATACCTATGTATGCTGCCCTACACTCTATCAACGGGGTATGCAGGGGTTGTTCCTTGATAACCCAGCTTTCGAGCTATGTGCCAAGAGTGAGTGTGAGTTGCTTCAAGAGTGTGAACGGGTCTATCTTCGTGATAAGTTGCAGAGTGTTGGTCAGTGGAAGAAGAAAGGTAAGATAGGGGAGGTTTATTGTTTGCCCAAACATGAGGATGTGCTTCGATGGACACCGATTTGTCCATCCTATTCTGAATGTTCGGCTGCAGGAGGAAGGGTTATCTCACGAGTTGTTAATGCGTTGCTCTGGAATTTGCCGGCGGGGTGTAACCTTAACCTTCGGAGTGTTGATGAGTTGTTGTCTAAGATTAAGAAGGTGAACTCAGGATTGACTGATAATGATCTTATCCTTGGAGCCTCCTTTGATATAAAGGAGATGTTTTTCAACTTACCGCACGAGTCTATTAAAAATGCATTTTTTCGTGGGTTGTTGAGTTTTGGCGAGAAAAAAGGGTTGACGTAGTTGCGGTACGTAAGCAAGGGAAGGGGGCGAAGCTGCTGACTGGTAGTGTGAAAATTGGGTGGAAGAGAGTCTTGTTTCAAACAGTTTTGGCCTTTGTTTCTTTCGAGCTAGAGCATACTTTTGTTCGTTCTTCACGACGACTGCTAAGGCAAAATATCGGTATTCCCATAGGCAAGTCCTCAAGCCCTGGTCTTGCTTGTTTCCTTTGTGCATATAACGAGTTTCTGTTTTTGTCAGCTTCAGGGGCGGATCAAAGGTTGTTTCGTGGTTTTCGGCTGATGGATGATGTTTCGGTTTTTGCAATTTGCAAACGTGATGATAGCAACTCGTATATTAAAGGGTTAGATCTCATCAATTCTTTTAGGAACTTTTATGATAAGAACCTGGTTCTGGAGCAAACGAATAAAGGTAACTGTTGGGATTTTCTCAGATGTGTTTTGAAAGTATCCAGAGAAAAAACGGGTGTGCTCTGTTTCCCGTTGATGAAAAATCAGAGGGAGCATGTTAATGGGAAACTGAAGTTTCAGTGTATTCAAGACTTCTCTTCATTTACGAGTCGGCAACAGAAACTGGCGGTCATCAACTCATTTCTCTATCGAGCAAAAACATATTACTCGGTTGACGGCATGGTTTTTCTTTTTTTTTTCGCCTTCAAGTGTGAGTTGTGGAAGCAGGGGTATCCGAATCCATTTTTTGACTCGGCGGTTACTCATTTCTCTAGAAGATTTGGTGGATTATGCCATGATTGGCTACCGTTTTTGACCAAGTGGGATCGACTACTGAACTAAGATCTCCGTCGCTTAGGGGGTCTTTTTCTTTCTTTTTTTCTTTTCTTTTTTCTTCTTTTTTTTTCTTCTTTTTTTTTCTTTTTGAGTTCCTGTGTAGGACTGAAAGCTCTTGAGTTGTGGGTTTTTCGAGTATAACGGTGGGGAGATGATTGGATCTGAACGCGTGACTCGAAGTGTTTTGGAGGATGATTTCTGAAATTGTGCGGTTTTTTTCTGTTTTGCGAAGAATAATTGTTGGGTTCGAACACAAGACTGTTTTTTTTGGATAAGTGGTGGTCTAGTTTCGATATTTGATGTACGCCTAAGTGGAAGCTAGGATTTGAGCGCGTGATTGATGGGGTACTAAGTTTTTTTGGGCCTTTGAGCCGTGGACGGAAGCCTTGCGCTAGTTTTGGGTTCGGTTTATGACTTTTTTGAGATTGTGAGGTTCGATCACGGTATCTGTCGAGTTTTATTCAGGCTTTTGCTCCACTAGGTGTAGGTTTTTTTTTTTTGATTTTGAACTCTTGACTTGCTTTTTGGTATTTTGCGGCTGTGGAGTACGGACCGGCTGACTACGTGTGATAGGTCCTCTCATGTGTCTTGTTTAGTATATATAGTTTTTTAGACTAGTGTCCTTCAAGTAACTTCTAGACCCCTGATGAGACCTGGTGGGCGGCCAGGCGAAACCGGTCGGGTCATTACGCCGGTCAGAACTTTCTGTTTCCAATGTGCTTCATTGCCTATTCTTTCGAAAATAAGTCGCGTTCGGGACACTCGCCTTCTTGTGTTGTCTTGTTCTCTCTCTCTCCCCCCCTGTCTTCTTCCTCCTTCTCTTCTCACTCCTTCGCTTGTCAGTCTGATTGTTTGGCGTATTGGGGATTATTCAGCCATTGTGTTTGTACTGTCGCCTTGGCATACATGGGTCGTTTTAAAAACATGTCCACTGACATGGGCAATTACAATCTGGAGAGGTTCAAGTAGGGCAGGCACGAATACACTTTTTTTTTTTTTTTTTAGCAGTTATGGATGGGTAAAGGTCCGGTAGGCTAGGTATACAGTGGGTATAGGTGGTTGGTTTTCAAAGAGGGTGTGGTTAGGTTGGGTACATGTATTCCTAAAAATCCGGATTGCGAACTCTGTCACATATCCATCAAACTTGAGCCCAAACAGAAAGGGTAAAAGATAATTTCATCACGTATGTAGATCGTGTGTCATCCGCTTGTCACTCTCGTTGTCCCCAAGGTGCAGCCTGTACATCACGTTCCGAACACTAACCTTCATAAAACATACGCGTACACAAAAGTTACTGTGATATTGTCATACATCTATATGATCAACTTTACCATTCTTTGAAACTCACACCCCGCCTTACACACACAAGTCACAGTCATTTTCTAACTTTCCATAACAAGACACTCAGTTTTTAAAAATGATCATTAAACCACCAATACTTGACCCAACTATCGACCGTGGAAAAAAAAAAAGTAGAAACATTTATAGTCGGATGAATTTAGGCACTCCTGTAGTAGCCCGTACGTTTTCTAAAATCGTGGCTCCGTAACGGACACGACTCGAGGAAGTACTAGTGGTTTAAAAGAAGTCTGGGTGAAACTCCCAAGAAACACAACCAACCACTGGGACTAAGGCCTTAGGATGATTTGCAAGAATGAGTTTGAGTTGTAAAACTCCCAAAAAACACAACAAATCACTGAAACTAGTCTAGCCTGGAGTTGAATCAAGTGGAAAGGACTTGCAACACATCACAGACAAGTACCCAAAGCTAAACTTAAGTGTATAACTATGTTTTCGTTAAAATTGAGTTTTTTTCTATTTCACAATTTTTACTTGAGTGACATGAAAAGATCGTTTGGCCTCTTGGGTATGCCATAGTGCAAGGATTATCGTATTTCTTACACTTACTTTTTTTTTTTCTTCAAGTTTTTACTTTAAAGGTGTGTTCTGAGGAACGTTGGACCCGGTTTCCAACACTTGCGTAAGCTGGGTAATGGCCTCAGCAACCCTTTGGGGTTGTCTATTGAGGAATTCCCGGCCTCTTTGGTTCATGATGTGGTAATAAAATTTTGTCATGCTTTCACAAAAAAAAGGATAATTTGCGAAGTACCCCTGTAAGTTAAGATATATGTTAAAATGCCCCTAAAAGATATGGGTAAAGCAGAATAGCCCTCTGACACAAAAAATGCTTTCAAAATGCCTTTGGCGTCGGTTGGACCTGTCATCTTTGCGAAATATCCCTACCGGGTATTGTCCATGTTTGCAACACGTCCCAGTACTTGCCAATATTTCCCATACGTTTTGTATTTTCGTTTTACCCCTAGTGACCCATATCATCTTTGCGTTTTGCCCCCTCGGTGTGTGTGTATGTGTGTGTGAGAGAAAGAGAGAGAAGAGAAGCATGATAACGGGGTGGGATCTCTCTCTCTTTCTATATATATATATATATATATATATATAAAGGGAGAGAGAGAGAGAGAGAGAGAGAGAGAGAGAGAGAGAGAGAGAGAGAGAGAGAGATGGTACTTCCATCGATAGGATGAGCAACGCACTAACCAACAAGTAAGTCTCTAACCCCGCGCCTAGCCTCAGGCTACTCACACACACAAGTGTAGTTGTGTACATTTTCATGTTCTAACGGAAGATTCA